CTATTGAAAAATCTGTCCAATAAACAACGTTGAACACAGTTATGGAAATATGTTGACAAATGTGTTTAGCAAACATTGAACCCATTACCGCACCTTTAAGTTTCAGTCGAGGAATAATTTGTGGTTTTAATGGTGCTACATGTCTTTTTGCTACAATAAAAGTACACTCTATGACATCTTTTTTCATTATTCTTAGATATGCCACACAAGCACTTGCGTGTTCGCTGGCATCTACAAATATGTGCATTTGCGTATTGGTATCCTTCCAGTTTTCAAGTTTATTAAGAAAGTATTTTGGAATTGAAACCTTCTCTATTTCTGGAGCTGTTTTAACCCAACAAGCTATTTTTGAAACTGTTCATTGGTTAAGGGTTGATCCCAAGAAATGTTACTGCTCCATATTTCCTGTAAAAGAATCTTCATCTAAATCAAAAAGTTTTCTAACAAACCTAAAGGGTCATATACAGACATTAAGATTTGTAAAATTTCTCGCTTTGTTGGCTTTCTTAATCCACTTAAAACATCTTTGTTCCTTTATTACATTTCAAATTGAGAATAAAATTATCTCCCTTTAAATCTCACAACTTCCCTAGAACCTTCTCTATGCTCTTATTGTTTCCTAGGTCTAAGTTGACTTCCTCGTTATTTCCGTTGGTGATTTTCATTATTTTTTCAGAGTTTGATCTTCAGTTTCTTATTTCAAAATTTTTGCTGTCGTGAATTAAAGCAATTTCCTTTACTAATTGGATGGCTCCATCCTCCAGTGTCTGTTGATTCTAAGAGATCATCGACATAATGATTCTTTACTATGGAATCAACAGCAACAGGATATTTTACGCTAAATTTCTTCGCATTAGTGTTTTTAATAAACTGTGCATAACTGGGTGAGCAGGAAGCCCAGAAGGTCATCACAGTCATGACAAAAATTTCCAAAGGATTATCAGAGCTACCATTGCACCACAAGAATCGTTGTGCATGTTGATCTTCTTCTATTATACCTACACGAAGAAACATTTCCTTGATTTCTCCAGAAAAGCCAATCTATCTTTCAGGAAATCGTAGGAGGACGCCTAATAAAGAAGCAAGTTGGTCATCTCCTTTTAATAACAGAATTTAAGAATATTCCATGTACAGTTGCTGCTGCATCCCAAACTAATCCGAATTTGTTAGGTTTGTTAGGATTAAAAGCCGGAAATATGGGAAGATACCATATTTTTCCTTGATGCTCCAAGAGTTCTTGTTCTGACAGTTTTCTAATGATTTTCTAGAAAATCTTGAATTTGTTAATTAATTTTGGTACCTTGTTTTGGTTTTTACTTAATTTTCCTTTCTTTCCACTCCAGTCTTTGAATAGCCATGGGTTTACTATTAGGGAGTTTCAAATTGTCGTATTTCCAGAGTAATCCAATTTTATATTGGTTACCAATTTGAACTAGGGTAGTTTCTTGTATACGAATAGCCCTATCTAATTCTTTGGAAGCAGACGGATTAATATTTTAAACTCCGAGGCTTTCAACTGAAAAGAAATCTGTACAGTATTAAAAAGTTCTTGGTTAGTAATGCTTTCAGAACTACATTCGCAAATGTGGTAAGTGTAGTTTAATTCCACATCGTTTTTTAAAAACGTTGCAAAAATAATCCAACTTAACCTGGACTTTCCAGCTATCGGTTGAAGTTCTAGACCTTCCTTCACTCGAAGTGGTAACACCAAGTCCCAGTTATCTAAGCCTATCAAGATCTGAGGAACAACGTTCGTATATGATTTGAAAGGCAATTTTTTAGATGCGGAAAGCTTTCTTTAATTGCCTTTATATCGAGAGTTTGTTTTGGAAGACCTAATTTTCTTACCGTTCTGGCTCGTCGGTAGTCAAATTCTTTTGGTCCCATTATAATCACCAGCAATAGAAAAGAATACTTTTTCTGATGCATCTTCTAAGCGTTGTTGGTTTCCAGTCCATTTTTAGCAAAGTTGTTTTGGGTTTTCCATTATATTTAGCTTTTTATCAATACTTTCTTCTAACAAAGTAACGGAAGACCCATCATCTAGAAAGGCAAATATAGTGACCTCCCTACTTCCATTTCTTAAAACAACGGGAAGTATTTGAAAGTGTGTTCCCTATGTGCATTACTTTCTTCATCTGTAGATAAGAGGTGTGATTCTACTAATTGCATACTTTTTTCCTTTTTGTTAAGCTTTGTACCTTTATTAGGTACTTGTTCTGAAAATTCATGAAGAAGAGGATGATGGCTTTGGCATTCTTCTTTATTGCATTTTACAGGATACTTACAGGGAAATCTGTGTTGTTTCTTTAAGCAAAGCCTACATAAATGTAAGGCTTTAACAGCCTCCCATCTTTGAGATAATGAATACCTATGAAATTCTGGACAACCTGCAATCTTTTTACAATCGCTCTGATTACACAGTTTACAATTATGTGTTTTGCTGGAGGTAATTGGTTCATGTAGGTATATTAGCATGCGCATTATTATCAGCGGCGGCCGGCCAGGTGAAGTAGGTGAAGGTAAGGTTCACCAAAAAAATATCATTAAATTGAGACAAATAAATAAAAAATAAAAACAACATTATTATATCCTGGAGTTCTGAATTCAATTATTTATTCGATTTTAATTAATCTAAAAATTAAAAAATACAGCTAGCTTTATTAGCGGTGCGGTAGGTACTTGACGGTCAAGTCCTGTCCTGTGTCACTTGCTGTGTATGATTCAGATTCAGGAATAGGTGAATATCATTTTTGAAATGCGAAATCCATTGCACAAGCGTTCACGGTTGCCATGGCAACGTGACGTTAGCCTGTCGCTAATGACATTGATTATAACTAATGATAGTTGAGAAAAATAGCTAGTGCAGTTCCGTTAAAAAATAAATTATCCGTCTTCACCCACTGGCCACTAGTTGCATGGGTACCTATTTGGTATTCGCAGCGACACTATTTTGAAATTTAGTCTAATATATAGACATTTTTTATATAGTGTAGTGTATAGTATAGTATTTATTAGTTTAGTTTTTATATAACTATACATTTTTTAACGAATTTTTAATGAGATTTGGGCACGACGTACCAAAACTCTTTTTGGCTCCGGCAAGCTTTCCTTCACCACTTTTTAGGTCACGAGCCGCCGATGATTATTATTAAATTGACGTTTTTTATTACTTTGGTCATTAAGGGCTAGTGTAGGTAGAGCAGAACAAACAATTGCTGCTAGATTATACAACCAATCAGCAAGTTCACTTAATCCCTGAAAATTTTAAAAAGCACTGCGATATATCGCCCAATTAACTTTAATTTGTAAAGGTAGTGTCTTTAATAATTCATGCTTAAGGATAAGGTTATTAAGGTAGTATTTTAAATTAGATGCTTCCAATAAAACACATATGTAAGTTTTTAACTACTAAAGCAAATACTACCAGAGTTTCAAGTTTTTCCGGTTTAGGACGTAGTAATCTATGAATAAAATTTATATGAGCTTCAATAATTTGCTCAGGTATTCCAAAAATAATTTTTAATGTAGTTATAATTTGGGTCACACATTGAGGTAAAATTAAAAAACGAACACTGTCTCTTGCTGGACCTTTTAAACATTTTTGTAATCCTAATAAATTCTCATAATTATCTACTTGACATAGCTCGGTAGATCTTTAAAAACTACTAATAAAAACAGGCCAGTCATGTGGATTGCCATTAAAAATAGTGGAGGTCTCCAGGATCCCTTCTTTTATATAATATACCTGAATTTTTATCGCTATAAGTTGGCAGAGGCTTACCAAGTTGCAACACTGTCGATAAAAAGCTTATCTATATTTAAAAAAAGGATTTTATTGACCAAAGGGTTAGTTTCAATTATTTCCTTTTCATCTATGTCCTGACTATCATTCGAGCACTCATCTTCTATAATTCTCCCAGGCTCCTTGGTTAAAACTCTCTTGACGTAATAGATCTCGTTCTTCATTTTTGTTTTGGTGTTTGTTGATGAGAAACTTTTTAAGGACGTTTCGGGACAAGATTTCTTGGTTTTGGAACCTTTTGGGTGAGAATTCTTAGAGGCCGCGTCTACACAAAGGGGGCACTTCCAGCTGTCATCACCAATTACTTCGGAATTACAAAAAAGTACCATTTTTTACATTCTGTACATTCTACCATCCGTTCTTCACGATACGGTTTGCCGCACACCAGACATATATCAATTTTGGTTCATCCAGCAACTAATGGACTCATGTTCGTAGATCATGTAAGATTGTGTAATTCAGCAATCGCGTGTGATGAATAGAATTTGAGTTGTTGGGAATTTGTCTTTATTGTACAGCCAGAAATTGACGGATTTGTAGTAAACTGTTTTTATTTGCGAAAAAAACAACTCAAATTCCTACAATATGTCAAATTAAAAATAATTAATTCCCGTTACTTATTTCTGTTTTCTTGCTGTCTGTTTGTGGCCTTTTGGCTTTGCCAGTGCCATTAACCCATGATACTATACCATTAACCTAGGAAGAAAAGTTAAATTATTTAAATTTTTCCCTAATCGATGACAGTTTGTTTTTTGAAGTTCTAAATAACATAATATCTGATAAAGTCTTAAGAACAGTAGCAACGGAAAATTTTTTGGTAACAGGATAAAAAATAATAAATATTCGTAACAATAATTACTGATTAGAATTACTTCATTATTGTTTTGTTTGCAGTACATCTATGAATTGTTTGTTATATACAACTTTAAATACAGATATGTGATGTCAGTTGTGTTGTGTTTGTGTAGTAATTTAACTTCTGATATTTGACTTCTGGGCAGAATCGATCAAAATTAAAACAAACATTTATTGGTAAGTACATATCACCTTTTAGCGGTCTCAACGTTACTGATTACTGGAATGATATTCCAAAAAGGATTGTTAATTTCTACATTGTTTCTTGGGTATGTGTAATTTTAAAATAATTTGACAATCATATTGAATTGAGGTTATGTTTTTATTATTTTTTTTGTAGGTTTTTTAAAAGATCCTGTGTAACAGCAACCAAAGAAATGTCTGGTGAAATATCGTTGTTAAATCAAACTACTCATTATACGAGTGGCGAACATTCCGTAGCTTATGTAACGGCTCCCAGTGAAGATGTTGCTAAACAGTTGGCCCATGGAATAGTCAAGAATAAGTTAGCTGCATGTGTTAATATTATACCGAAAATTACATCAATTTACGAATGGGAAGGTAAAATAAATGAAGATTCTGAAGTACTAATGATGATTAAAACTAGGACATCAAAAGTAAATAATTTAACTGAATTTGTAAAATCAAAACATCCTTACACAGTTTGTGAAGTTATATCTCTTCCTATTCAGAATGGCAATGAGGCTTACTTGAAGTGGATAAGCGATGTAGTCCCTAGTAAATAAGTCATAACTGATTAATTATTAATTCTAATGTACTGATTAAAACGTAAAATATTGATCTGATTAAATTACTATAAATTTTGGTTCTATTAATTGTGTAATTCCTTATAAATTAGTAGTTACTGCGAAAATGATCTATTTAAAATATGTCATGAAACCTATTTAGTTTTTAACATATGAAACTCTCTTGTTTTACTACTCCCTCTTATAGTATCACTTTGCTATTATCATTACTATCATAAAATAAGACTTAAGCATAATGCCAGACTGTATCAAAAGCTTACGCTGTTAGAAGTAATATCAGCATACATATGACAATGGAGAGATATACACAGTGTGATATATTCTGTTCACAATATTTTGACAGATTCATCATTGCAATTATACAACACAAAAGTTCTGACCCCTCACTATTAGTAGCACAAATAAACTTAGTGTTGCAGACTTTGTTTAATTGAAAAAGAAGAATAATAATGAAAAATGGGAAGGTATATTCATTAGTGTTTATTAAAAACTTTAAATTTGTAAATACTGATCTATAAATGGCTATAAAATTTCAAAAATGAACATTTTATTTTATTAATACACTGCATGTAAATATTTTTCATATTAAATTAGTATTGGCTATGAGCATGTTTTGTATAGTAATTTTCAGCCAAGAAACTTCTGCTATGTCAAAATTTAATTAATAAAAAAATTATCAAATTTCCTGGACCCTTTAAGATTGGGATTAGTGAACTGATTATGATAATTCAATCATCATTAATAAGTAGAAAGGAGCAAATATGTTACAAAAAACATATTTTTAATAAGATTTAAATCCAATTTCAACTTCAAATATGTGTACAGTGGAACCTCCATTATCCGTCAGGGCACCGGACCAAGGGTATGACGGATAATCGAAAAGACGGTTAACAGAACATTAAAAAAATTCATAGTATAACTCTCAAATTTTATTTGTATGTTTTATCTGACAATATAAGAGGGATTTATGTTAGTACGGTCGAACCAGTTTAATTTAAAATATTCCGAAATCTTTGTTTTATTGTACAACTTGACGAATTTTTGTATGTGCGATGCAGCTTGTCTAACTTCTCTACGCAAATCTTTGTTGCAATAGCATCATCAACATCACCACCGTCAAAGTTTGTGTCAGCTTATGAATCAGTTTCGTCTGCCTCTGTTGCCATTTTAACGATTTTATGATATGTTAGCAATCGATAGCCGTTTGCATCCTCATCACAAATTAACCATTCGTTTATGGCATCTTTAGGTAACGAAAACAAAACAGTTGATTCAGCCATAACTTCATTTGTTACCGCATCATGCTCGGCTGTCACAGTGGCATTTTAATCTTGAGTTGATTCAGGTTATAATTAATTCCTCGCTCTTTTCAGCGTTAGTTACGAAACATCAGCCCAAGCATCCACAGCATTGTCGATTGCGTGTTTTAAATTGTGTGCTTTCCAGTATTCTGGCAAAGAATATTCCTCTTCCATAACTAGGTTTTGAATCAATTTTTTTCTGTATCTTCTTTTGAATGTTTTAATGACCGATTGATCCATTTGCTGTATCAATGATTTATTCGTAGGCACAAAAGAGCACGTGATATTTCCATCATCACTTCGCAGCATACAGACTTCAGGATGAGCAGGGGCATTGTACAAAATGAGAAAAGCTAAAAACAAAACGTTAGAAAAATAGACAAACAAATTCTGGTTTGCAGTACATACATTTTTGAACCAATCAGCGAATATTTCCTGGGACATCCATGCATTATGTTGTGCGTAGTAGTTAACGGAAAGTGCGTTCCCATTTATACCCTTGAAACAACGTGTTTTTTTTTTTGGTGTACAAATCAATAATCAAGGAAGGCAATGGTCACCACTTGCATTTGAACACATCATTGCTGTAATTCGTTTATTTTGCGTTTTAAATCCGGGTGCATATTTTTCAGACAGTGCAGCGAGTGTTTTCGTTGGTAATGCTTTGTAGTTTAAACCAGTTTCATCCGCATTGAACACACGCGTGTCAAACCATATTCATCGATCATAGCTTGAAACTTTCAATACTTTCAAAGTTTGTTTCGTCAACAACTTCAATACTTGCGGAGCTCAATTTTTCACCTTCGATTTTCACTTCCCGTATACCGTGGCAATTTTTGAACTTTTCCAACCAACCGCTGCTTCCTTTGAAAGAAGGATCGCCATTCAATTTCATGTTAAAGAACAACGCTTTTTCGGCAGCAATTGGTCCAGACAATGGAACACCTTCTTCTTTTTTGAACAAACAAATACAGAGCCGTGTCAAGTGATTCATTTGTGACGTTTTTCATTGTCTTACGATGTTTCATCCGGCCATCCAACGATTCCATTTGCGAAGCATACTTCAATTCCTTCAGCATTTTTCTTTAAATCGAATTTCGTTTGGCTTATCGCAATGCTCAAACAAAATAATTGATTACTAAATTTTTACTTATATAGTCAATATAACTTATGTATGGACCCTGACGGTTAACAGAGGTGACGGTTAATAGAGAGACGGATAATCGAGGTTCCACTGTATTTTGATGTTTCAAGTACAGAAGAGTATTTTGGAATATTTCTAGTTCTACAAATTTTCTAGTTTGGTACTTATGTGGTTAACGAAAAACCATTTTTACTAGATGGCCAGCCTTTATGTCATCAAGTTTGTGTTCAAGATACCACTAGCTGTTAAGCAACAATGGCCACATAAATAGTTCAACTACACTAGATTCATGATGCCAAAATGTGAACTTCTATTCAAAAAGGAATGACACCACATGTCAGATGTTTTAAACCAAATAGAACAAAAAATAAAAGAAATATTGAAAATATTTTTGAAACCAAAGGAACAGTTAGTAACAGGATAATACAAAGGAAATTTCATATTCCATAATGTGTTTTAACAGGTTGACTGCCAACTTGGTTACAGCAATGTCTACCCAGAACGCAAGTTATTAGTTGCAATAGATGTCTAAAATAAGTCACCTTCCACTTAGTCTTGACATATTTGGAAGATATCAGTCAAACTGACAGCTTTAGGCATATTTCCAGTTAACTCAGCGTCAGTATATTTTGTCAATATTAATTCTAGTTACCAGCGTCCAGTTAAATGAACACACAGAAGCAGCACTAAATAAAATACTGGACAAAAATATCTTCTCCTTTTTTTTGCCCTGACATCAGGCCTTTGTCCTTTAATGTTGGAGAATTTGCTTCAACATAATCGAAGTTTTCTGAAATATGGGGCTGTTTTACATTATTGATTTCGGTTTCACCAATCAAATCCTTTATAACTTTTTCTCTAAACTTTAGAAGTGTGATATTTGTATTTGTAATTTTTTCGTTTATATAACATCCATATCATATGGGCATGGCCAAATCCATTAAATGAAAAAATATTATCTGATACCAACATATTGTTTTTCAGAGGGTTGAATAATAAGCTAACATTTGGTCTGACCTCTCTATGCTAGACATGCTTGTTGTAATCATCTACACACAATGGTTTTATTTTTTTACGTTTTGTGTTTATCATCCTAATGTTTCTTGTATCTTTCCAATTTGTAATTAAAACTGGCCCTTTTCTTTTCCAGTAGTTATCCATATATACTGTGTGACCTTTTTCTTAATATTTGGAAAGTAATGTCATGCATACAGAATGAGTAAGGGAAACGTCACATTCTTTTATTGTACCCTTTCCTGCATATACAAGAAAATTGTTAATAAATCCAGCACTAGTAGTTAGCACATATAATTTTATACCATTCTTATGGCTTTTATTGGCTAAATACTTTAAAATATAAGCACCCCTGCCAGTTTATCATAGACTCCTCTATCGATAAATTTAACCCGGAATAGAAAGGTTTGTCGATATTTTCCAATATCATGTCTAAAACTGGACGAACTTTAAAAATTTTATCAGTATGATTAATTGATAGAAAATCGTAATTTTTAGAATCATCTGTTTCTAGACATCGTATGTCCAAAAATCGGATGATAGCACAGCGGATATTTACTCCACTGTTTCGAGAGTTGTGGGAAAACTGCTGTGCGACTGAGACATATTTGTTTTTCTCGTTGTGACCTACTATTATGACGACACCGAATTACCTGTTCTATTTGTTTCATTAGTAATTAGTTGAAAAATGTCGTCAAAAAATTGATAGAATGTTTCGCTTCAGACGTCAAATTGGCATTGATTCGAGAATTTCCATTAACAGGCATATCAACAGAGTCTTCTTCATTATTGGGTGGAGGCGATACTCTTAGAGAATTATCTACTACTGGATCTTCATTTTGGATATTAGTCAGAGAAAGGTAGAGGTTTATTTTCTGCTGCATTGTTCGAATTCAAACTGCTTTTACAGGATGCATTTGAGACATTCAGTAGTTCTTGTCAGTTGCGTCATCATCACTAGAAAAATCCCATTCACCTTCATTAAAGTTATCCCAATACTTTTCTAATTCTACCTGCGTCAACGGTTTCTAGCATCCCTTATTTCACGCTTTCAAATAATATTTTTGATAAAAAACAGACTACATGAATTTGAAGAAAAATAGAACAATCTGTCAACATCGCATAATATCCTGATATAATCTACTTAGTGGGACAATACTAATGCAAAGAAACAAATACACAAAAAAAAACTCACACCCAAAAGAAACATTAAAACTAAATTCATAAATATTTCCATCTAAAACAATATATGCTACAAATTTCTCTTATAAATAAAATTCTCTCGTATTTACTCTGTTAAAGTCACGAAACTACCTTTAATCTACATAATCCCTGAAACCAATTCTAATAAACTGAATGAAAGTACTTACCCTGGCATGTCTAGCATCTGTCAAATCGTCTCCGTTAGCACTCATCGCAAAGAAAATAGATCACTACTCGCAAACGACAAAATTCATACTGATTTTCATTAATTTATAATGTACATGTGGCACAATACAGTTTGCAAGTGCTTGAAAAACTTGACGGTGGGTGCATATTGAAAACTCAAGACCGAAAATATCGGTTACCTAAAATATTTCTAGCATAAATCTTAGGCCAGGACCCGTTTC